TAAATTAAATTAAATTAAAACATTTTATTTATTTATTTATTATAAATGTCACGTGTTCCGCGTGCGGTGACAAAATTTAAAAAAAAAAAATAATAATAATAATTTTTTTTAAAGGTTTAAATCTTCTCTCGCGTGACGTCACAGGATCAACTTTTCCATTTTTTTCCCTTTTTTCCTTTTTTTTTGTTTGTTTGAATTGACAGTGGGTCAAGTTTTTTTAACGAACGTTTTCATTTCCCTCACTCTCTCTCTCCCTCTTTTTTTTCCCTTTTTGCCTTTTTCTCTCTCTTTCTCTTTTCCTCTTTCTTTTTCTCATTTCCTTTTTCTCTGTCTCTCTCTCTCCCTCTCTTTCACTTTTTCTTTCTCTTTTTTGTTCCCTTTTCCTCTCTTTTTTTTTGTTCTTCTTTCTCTCGTTTTTTCTCTTTTCCTTTCACTCATTCCCCTCTCTTCCATTTCTCCCCTCGTTCCTTCCCTCTCGCTCTTTTTCTCTCTCTCTCTTTCTAAAAAAAAATCATTACTTTTCTTTTGTGAAATTAAAAAAAAAAAAAAAAATTTATTATTTTCTTCATTGCCATTTGTTTAGAATCTCACAAAGCTTAAAAGCTTGTTTAATTGTATCTTCAAAAAAAAAAGGCTAAAAAAGCTTAAAAAAAAAAAAGGCAACTTGAAAAGGTTTTTATATTTTGGTTTGAACTTTAGAAAATTGTTTTTCTTCCTTTTTTTCTCTCCCCTCCTTCTCCTCCCCCCTCAAAATGTTTTTTCTTTTTTTATCGAAATTTTATTTTACGATTGATTTGAATAAATTTTTTATTTATTTTTTTTTTTTATAATCGTTTTTACATGTAAGTATTTTTTTTACGTTTTTGTCGCTTTCGTCATTTCCGGTTAGTCCTTTTTCCGTTTATTTCACGTATATTAATTAAAATTTATTTTATTATAATTTTTTATGAAAAAGAAGAATAAAAAAATCTGCTGTAACAAACACAAAAAAAACCAATTTATTCATCAAGTGGAAAAATGATATGACGTATTAAAAAAAAAAACAATGGAAAATTTTTCTCAGAAAAAGGAAAAAAAATTTCTTTTGATAAAAAAAAAAGAAAAATTTTTTTTTTTCCGGTTTGGTAATGATTAAAAATAATTTTAATATACGTTGACCTAATAATAATAACGAATGAAAAATACGTTTCATTACAAAGGTTTACACTCGTACTTCCGGTTGATAACCGGAAGTTATCATCACTTTTATTATTATAATAGTAACGAATATGTAAAAATTTTCTTTTCTTTCTTTCTTTCTTATTTTTAGACATTTTTTTTTTTTTTGAATTTTTCTTTTTGATTCAAATCAAAAATTAACATCAGAGAAAAAAAAGGGGAAAACTTTTTAAAAAACTTTTCTTTTTTTTTTTTTCAAACTTTTTCAACTTCCTCCCTCTCCTCTCCTCTCTTTTTCTCTTCCCTCCCCTCGACTTTTTCCTTTCGAAAAGTTTAGAAATCATGTGGAAACGACGAATTTTCTTTACTATATATATAAATTTTCACATTGGATTGTTTCAAATGTGATAAAAACTTTTTTTTTTTTTTTAGTTTTAAACGTTCGAAAATAACAACGCGATTAGACTGGATTTTATCAAATGATTTAGAAAAAAAAAAAATTTTTTCTTGTCGTCTGCTACAACGTTTTTCACGAAAAAAAAAAAAAAAATTTTTTTTCGCTTGTTTAATTTCACGGATCGTGACCACCTTACCGCGTAAAAATAAAATCACGACGTTATAAAAACAAAACTCCTGGAGAACATATTAATAACAATAATAATCCCTGGAGAAATTCGAATTATTACTTTTTTATTATTCTACCACCACCAACATTATTATTATTATCGTCATTACTTTTTTAAATAAAAAATTTTAAGACAAAACAAAAAATGGCGATCACGAAAAGATGATTTTGAAAAAGAAAAAAAAAACATATTAAAACAAACAAAAAAAAAAAAAAATTCAATAACAAACTAAACCGGAAGTTGTTAGTATAAACTCAACAGTCAATAAAAAAAATTTTTTTTTTTTTTACGACGAAAAGAAAAAGGTTTAAACGGGTATAAAAAAAGGTTTTTTTTTGTTTTTATTTCTGATAAATTTTTTTTGTTACCTTTTTTTTTATCCAATAAAATTTAATAATATTGAAAAATAATGACTTATTCAAACGATTATTATCATTATTATTTTTTGTTAATTATTGATTGAAAGAAGTTTATAAGAGAGAGAGAGTTGGGAAAGAAAAAAGAAAGATATCAAAGGGGAGTGTTATAAACGACGGTACAATAAAATTAATGTTATTAGCATATGGATGACGTCGTCTTACCGGAAATGGTTATTTCCACCCTCTTTTTTTTCTTCCTCTTTTAAATGTGTATTTACAACCTTTGACCCGTCTGGACGTGTTGACGTTTTTTTTTTTTTGTAATTTTATTACGGTAATAAGAAATGGGTCAGTTTTATGAAGGCAAAGGTTTACTTAGTCAGCGAATTGTGACTCGATTTGTATTTTCTTCTTTTCCCCCGTCTTTTTTTTTTGTTGACCTAAGAAAAATGCATTTCGCACTAACCTCTCCTCCCGGTAGCAGGGAGAGTGTGGGATTCATCCGAAGCCACTACCCAACTAAAAGTACTGGACGTATTTCTCCTCTTTGCGCGGAGGTAGAGGCGCTGGCAAGACCCTTTACCCTTATTTACCCTTTGAGAGACAGTTTCGATCTGTAGCCATTGTTCCTGCCCCAAATCCCGTTCATCTGTATTCCTCTCACGTCGCAACTCCGCACTTCCCAGACCCACCCTCTCGAACAATGGTCAGCGCTTTCTCAATACCTCAAAAGTTCTAGGTCACTTATACCCTTATTTTAGGTTCAGGTCTGTTCTTGTTTGGACGAGATGAAATTGAACTCCCATTCCCAGGATTTGAACCCTCGACACTCAACTCGGTAATTTTTGGATTGATTTTTCCCCTTTTCAGACTCAACCTGGCTACCTCGGGTTCCCCCAAGGTT